TAGACAAGCTCTCAAATTATTGCCTTGAGATAATCTTTAATCCTTAAATTTCAAACCAATACTGTCCCTGAAGTCATCTTATTAGTTTAGCTATTAAGGTAAAGCATGTCTTCCTTAAGTATCATACTCTTGTGTGTGTGTGTGTGTGTGTGTGTGTGTACCGTCAAATCAGATTTGACTGGTACAGGAGGAGATTGTCCCTCCTTTCCCAGCAAAGCATCTGATGGATTAGAACCGTGAGCCTTTGGGATTGTAGTTGCAGCTCCTTGCCACTAGGCCACCAGAGCTCCCCTAAGTATTGTACTCTTTTAAAGGATTGGCTATGTGAGATCAAATCAACAACAGCAGCTTGAAAGGTTAGATGCCCAGGGAGCATCGTTGTTCTTGTTGCAGTGTGCTGTCAAGTGAGAATCAAATGGCCTTCCAGCAGGTTATCAGAGGCTGCAGATCACACACGAGAAGACCACTCATCACTCTCTCTCAGAGCAGCTTGCGGATTCTAACCATGTGTCTCTTGATTGGCAGCACAACTCCTTACCATCAGGTCACCACAGTCTCCTTAGGAAACATTAGGTTTATATTCGGGATGGTAGAATAATTTGAAAGAGGACTGTGAGAAGGGGTGTACAACTTCAAAAATGCAGTGAATATTACTGAAATATCCCTGTTAAAAATCACTGCAATGGGGTATCTTGTTTGTTGTATGCAATTTCACCAAAACTTAAGATTTTTAAAGAAACTATATAAATCCTATATAAATTTTTCCTGAAAAAGTGTAAGCAGAAAAATCTATTTACGCACAAAGAATGATGCTGTAAAGAGTGTAAGAATAGCCTTCAATTGGTGACAGGACTGGGATGTGTTGGAATCGGTGGAAGTGGGTGCTGGGAGGGTGGAGATTGTCTGACCTCATGGGCATCAGTTCTGTGTTGGCAATGTTGTCAGTGGAGACTGTCCCCCGTGTGGACTGGCTGCTTCTACACCAGCAACACACCATTTACAGTGCTGCTCCAGATGCTGTTTGGTTTTCTTCTGATTGATTCCAGTTCCCCTACAAGATAAGGAATGCTAACATCAGCAAAGAATGAAGAGGAAGGAAAAGCCTAAGAATTGGAGTCTGATAAGAGTTGAGAAGGATTCAGTTGACCATGACATTACTGAGTGTGTCTAAATTTCTTCCATTCCATCAGCAGTTCTCAACCAGGGACAGTTCCACTCTAAGATGCATTTGACAATATTTGAATACATTTTAGGTTTTCATAACGGAAAATCTTCGGCAACACTGAAGACCAAGAATGACCTACTCCAAAATGACAACTCATCAACAATCTGCATTATGCAGGTGACACAGTATTGCTTGCAGAAAGTGAAGAAGACTTGAGGTACTTCCTGCAGAAGATCAAAAACTACAACCGTTAACATTAAGAAAACAAAAATCCTCACCTCTGGGCCAATATGCAATGCTATGATATATAGAAAAAAGACTGAAGTGGTCATCAATTTCATTTTTACCTGGATCTCCAAGCCACACCCATGGAAGCAGCAGTCAAGAATTCAAAAGGTAAAAGAAAAAAAAAAAAGAAAGAAATCAAAAGGTGTGCTACATTGGAAAAATCTGGGGTCAAGTATCCCTCCAAAGTTCTAAAGAGCAAGGAGGTCAGTTAAAGATAAAGGTGTACATAAACCAAGCCACCATGGTGTTTCCAATTGCTTCATGCATCTGAAAGTTAGATAATGAATAAGATGACAGAAGAAGACTTATCTTTGAATTACAGTGTTGAAGAAGAGTACTGAATATCCCAAGGACAAAAAGAACAAACAGTTTTGTCTTGTAACCAGAATGCTCCCTAGGGATAAGGATAGGAACATTTTATCTCACTTATTTTGGGCATATTTTGAGCCAGCCCCTGGAAAAAGACATCACGCTGGGGGAAAGTAAAGGGTCAGTGAAGGAAAGGAAGACCCCTGTGCGATGGATTGCTATCATAAGTACCACAGTGAGACTCAGCAGGACAGAGATCATGAGAACAGAACAGCATAGAGCAGGGATTAGAGATCTGTTGTTCATAGGGTCGCTAAGAGTCAGAGTCAACTCAAAGGCACCTAACAACAACAAAATGCCAATGATGCCTAGGTTAAGAAACCTTGCAACACAACTGTCTGTGGGGCAAATTCCCTCTGGTAGAAGCTACGGAACTACTAAGGTCTTCTTAAAAGATCTCATGAATCCAGGTTCCCAGATCAGACAGATCCCACAGTTCTAGGGTCAGGGAGAAATTACATGGCTGTGCTGGATCCAATACTGCCCTCACTCAGAAGTAGGAGCAGATGCCAAGGAAAACTCGAGTTTTGTAATCCCATAATCAAACCTTCACTCCTCTTCCAGGGAACCTGCCCTAACTGGCCTTTCCAGGACTTGAACAACAGCTGTCAGACTCGCCTCCTTCACTTACTCCCCCTCTGCAACACACACATACCTCACACTCCTCCATATGCCTGGGACCTGGGGTATCAAATTCTCTTACACCTCCAAATACTTCCTCCCCCACCTCCATGGGAACCACAAACATGGCACACACCCACGGGCCTGTGAGGACATCCACACCTGCACCCTGCCTCCCAAGACCCCTCATCTCAAGGGCTTTCTCCCTACTCCAGCCATGAAGCTCTGGCCCGATCGTGAATTTTTCCAGAGTTGAAAAATGAGGGCTAGTTTCTGGGACAGAAGCCAAGAGTAGACTGAACAGGGGGACCTGAGGAGGAAAGGGCAGGGGGACTGTAGTGGGGAGGCAAAGGAGAGGCTTCATCCAAGTCTAAAGTCCTCTCTTCTTGTAGCCATCAGCTGCTGACTAAATCCGCATTCAGCCTCATTCCTGGCTCACTCCTGCTGGTTGCAGTCTGACTGAAGAAAGCATGAGAAGCAGAGAGTCAGAGAATCAGGAGAAAATGTCAGAGATATACATGGGGAGATAGCATGAGAGAGAATGAGAAAAAGCAGAGAGAGAAACCAACAGAGAACAGAGAGAATGAGAGATGAGCAAGAGACAGAGAGGGCCAAAGGGACAGAGAAAGGGGCCAGAGAGAGAGAAAATTATTTAGAGGCAGAGAGATTTATACATGTTAGATAAATAGATGATGGATGGATGGAGACATAGATCATGACAGAATACAGAATTTCATAACAGATACAAGATACAGAGAGAAACTGTGAAAAATGCACTCCCGGAGGACAAAATAACCCAGCCACATGGCCAACCCATTGGAAGAACTGAACTTGAACCCAACATAGCTCATGCCCAAAGGTGCCCATCCCCCACCCCTACCCCATCCCTATGTCTGGGCCTCATTACTCCCACCCCCTCAAAACCAGGCCCAGGGCCCTGAATGGAATAAGTGAATGACAGCCCATCCCTGAACTCACTTCTGACTGTGGCAAGCCAAGCTGAAGTCCAGCCACTCCAGGTGTGGCCCCTACCCAGGGCTCTACTCCAGCTGGCCATGGGCCCTGGGGCTGCACCCAAGGAACTGCAGGGAGGTGGGAGGGGATTAAGGTTCATTGAGAGAACAAATGAGGGGGGGTGAGGGGTGGAGAGAGACTTTTAAGAGCAGCCCCCGCCCCCCGGGCACACTTAGTGCTGCAGGGTACATCTGGAGGGGACTTGGCTGTCCAGAACACACCTCTGCTGCCCCCGCAGTCCATCAGGTAAAGGGCTAGCAGGAGGGCCACCCAGATGGGAGGGAGGTGGTCTCAGGAGGGGATCACTAGCTCTTTCTCTGTGTTTCTAAATCTAGCTTGGAATCCCTTCCCACCTTTGATGTTTGATTTGCGTCCCTCTTCTAGAAGTCTCTCTGAGGCTCTGCTCATTCATTTGACAAGTATCTCCAGGACACTGAGGGCTCCCACAGATTGGAATATTATTCTTTCCTGTCACTGTCTCTGCTTGTGCCTCACCACTGGCTAGGTCTTTCTTGGGCCCTGCAGGTCTCTAACGCTCGTCTCTTTCTCCGTCTACACATCTTTCTGTCCCTGTCTCCTTCTCTACCTTTCTCAGTGTGTCTCTAACTCTGTGTCTCTAGTTCCATCTTTTTCTCTAACGCCTGTCTTTGCCTCCCTTTCTGTGACTTAGGCTCTGTGTCTTGATCAGTCTGTCTCTGTCCCTGTGTGTCTCTATCTCTTTACTACTGTCCTTTATGAATCTCTTGATAGACCCATGGTAGAACGAAAGATAGACCAATAGAAAGACAGACAGACAAATTCAACAACTCACCGTGGTCCAGTTGGAACTAACTCCTAGCTGACTCTCCTTTGGCTGTTGAAGGCTGTGGACCCTTTAAAAGAAGATTGCCACTGGTGGATTCAAACCATCAGAGCAGCACAGCCTTTGGATTAGCAGCACTACTCTCTATGGGCTAAGCCACCACAGCTCCCTTACTAGATAGACAGTTAAAGACATCTACAGATACCTCAGTCTTTTCCTGTATTATCTCTCTAGGTGTGTTCCTCTTAATCTCTTTCTCTCCAGTTCTATTTCTTTCTCTCCAATCTATCAATTTCCCTCTCCCTTTTTTTCTGTCTCTCTAATCTGTCCCTCCCTCCATTTTTGCATGCATTTTTGTATTTTGGCTCTCAGATTCCTGACTTGTGTTCATTCTTCTCTCTTTTCTTTTTTTCCTTCTTTGCCTCCCTCCTCCCTAATTCCCTGAGCTGACTCTGTCTCAGGGAGCTCTGGTGGATTAGTGGTAAGGAGCTACACTGCCAGCCCAAAGACATGCGGTTCGAATCTGCCAGCTGCTCGGCAGGAGAAAGGGGCGAGCAATCTTCCATGCAATTTACAGCCTCTGAATACCCACTGGAGATTCAACTATGAGTCAGTCTTTCCTTCTCCCCATTCACCTGGAGAATCCAGGTGCCTGTGGTGATGAGGAGTGGGGAATCCCTGCTGCACCCCAGCCCAGCTCTCTTCCACTTTGCCTTTCAGACGCCAGCAACTGCCTTCGCCATGGACACTGCAACGACAGCCATCTTGTTCCTATTCCTAGCTCTTGTCTGCCTGCTCCTGACCTTCAGTTCAAGGCGCAAGGGCCGGCTGCCCCCAGGACCCAAACCCCTCCCGCTCCTGGGAAACCTGCTACAGCTTCGCTCCCAAGACATGCTGACCTCCCTCACCAAGGTGCAGGGGCCCGGGCTTGGGTGATAAAGTGAGGGGCAAGGTGAGGTGCCAAGGTCCCAGCCTCCCCGTGACCTGTTTTATCGCCCCTAGCTGAGCAAGGAGTATGGCGCGGTGTACACAGTGCACCTGGGACCCAAGCAGGTGGTGGTCCTGAGTGGATACCAAGCCGTGAAGGAGGCACTGGTGGACCAGGGGGATGAGTTTAGTGGCCGTGGCGACTATCCCGTCTTTTTCAACTTCACAAAAGGCAATGGTAAGCCCACTCCCTATCTCCCCACCCACAGCCTTCTCCACAGTGAGGGAGAGCTGGGGGTGAGAAACTCTTTCCCACCATGGGGCCACTTAAGGTCACAATTCTCACTGAAGATATGAAATGGAATGGAGCCAGGAAATCCTTCTTGTTATTATTGTTAAGTGCCATAAAGCAGAGTATGGCTCACAGCGACCCTAAATATAAGCAGATCTAAATTCTGTCTATCCTGTGCCATCCTCACCACCTCTGATATACTTGAGTTCACTGCTACAGTCACGATGTCAATCATCTCCTTGGGAGTCTTCTTCTCCTCTGCTGACCCTCCATCTTTCCAAGCACGAAGCCTCTTACCTAGGAATAGCCTCTTGTAGCAACATGTCCAAAGTAAGTGAGACAAAGTTATGCTATCCTTGCCTCGAAGAAGCACTCTGGCTGCAGCTTTTCCAAGACATACATACCTGTTTGTTCTTTTGGCAGTCCATGAGACATTCAGTACTCTTCTCCAACACCACAACTCAAAGGCATCAGTTCTTCTTCTGTCTTCCTTATTCATTGTCTACCATTCAGATGCATAGCAAGTGATTGGAAAGACCATGTCCTAATCAGATTCACCTTAATCTTCAAGCTGACATCATTGCTCTTCAGAGAGGCCTCTGACAGCCTACTCCATCCCACCTTTCTCAACACCACCTTCAATTACACACCCACGCCAGTCCCCATCTCTATTCAACTCCAACTCTTATTCTCATTCCAATCCTATTTTCATCCCAATCTCCTCACCAGTTTTCCAGCTCAATCAAGCAGTCAATTTATCTGGCTCCAGGTCCCATTGTTCACATCAGCCCTATCTGCCACCAACCTAATCCCCACATTGCTTATTTCAGCCTCACTCTTTTCTTTTCCACAGCCATAACGACATTTCACCATAACCTCCATTCCCATTATGAACCCTCTCCCACTTCCATTTTTCCGTACTGTTGCACATTTCCCCACCACCACCACCACCAGGCCATCCCACAATGCATCCCTTGTTCCAGACTGTTGTCATGCATGTAATTCCTAATCATATATTCCTTTCAGTCAGTTCTTCCCCTCATCCATTCTAATGCACTGTTCATTATCTTTCTACTCTTGTCCCATTCTATCCCCAACCCCCCCGCCATGTCTGTCCTATTTTATCATAGCAGTGTTATGCAGTGTTTGTCCTTTTATGACCGACATGTTTCTCTCAGTATAATGTCCTCAAGGCTTCTCCAATTTATGTAATGTTTTACAAGTTGTTTTTCATTGCTGTGGAATATTCCATCGTGTAAATATACCCATTTTCTATCCATTTGTTTGTTGATGGGCATTTGCGTTGCTTCCATCTCTTTGCTATTGTGAATAACGCAGCAATAAACATGAGTGTGCATACATCTGTTTGAGTCATGGTTCTAGTTTCTTTAGGGTATATTCCCAGCAGTGGAATTCCTGGGTCAAATGATATTTCTATTTCCAACTTTCTGTAGTGGCTGTACCATTTTACAGTCCCACCAGCTGTGTATAAGAGTTCTAATCTCTCCACAGCCTCACTATTTGTTGTTTGCTGCCTTGTTGAACTTTGCTATCATTGCTGGAGATGATATCTCATGTCGTTGTTGTTGTTGTTATGTGCCGTCGAGTTGCTTGCGACTCATAGCGACCCTATGTACAACAGCTCTAAACTCTGCTCTGTCCTGTGCCAATCTCATTGCTTCCGACACACTCATCCCGATTGCCCCAGTCACTGAATCAATCCATTTCCCAGAGGGATGATATCTCATAGGTGTTTTTATTTGCATCTCCCTGATAGCTAGGGATTTTGAACATTTATTCATATGTTTGTTTGCCATCTGAACGTTCTTTGGTGAAGTGTCTTCATATCTTGTGCCCATTTTGTGATTGGGTTATCTTTTTTTTCTTGTAGGGTCGTCCTACTTAAATTTTAAGTTATTATCAGTCATATCTCAATCCCTTAGTCAAAGTGAACTGCCATTTTTCTCCACACCCTTAAATTCATCTTCACCCCACCACCTAGTCAAGTTGCCAGTTCCCATTTTCAACTTCAATCCTACTACCATGACCAAACCCAACATCTCTACTCAACCCCAACCTCACTATTAACTCCAATATACCAGCCTCTCTCATTCTACCCAACTCCATCCCCAACACAAACTTCAATCCCAATACACAGATAAGAGTCAAAGCAAAGTCATATTGGAAAGCCAAATAAATGACCAAAACAGAGACACAGACAGCTGCTCAACCAGGAAGGACTTACATCCTACACTCCTCTCCTCTCCTCTCTAAAGAGTCCTATCTTTCCAAAACATTTGGACATACGCATCATTTGTTACCAAAAAGAGCCTCTATCCAGTTATTCTCATATAGCAGAGAGGGTAACAGCTGAGGTCAGCCACTGTGTTCCCATAGACATACAGCCTCGGCTACATCTAGTGTTCTTCTAGGCCCAGAGGAATCAGATATAAATACCTCTGAGGCGTTATCCTAGCAATAGCTCCAAGTCCAGTGGAAAACACAGCTCCCTCACCCAGCCCAGAATGGTCAGGCCCAAGACACGGGAGGTTGACAGAGGTAGAAGGGCTGTGGCCAAGACTGAGGGAAGCTGGGGATCTGAAAGATGAGATCACTAGAAGGAAGACAGCACAGAGTATTGGTTGAGAGTGTTTCAGGCAGAAAGATCAACGTGTGCAAAGACCCTGAGTCGAAGGAGAGAAAATAGGGTCTGTCCCTAGATGAGTTCCCAGTCTTTTTGTTTATTATGTATTTCTCTAGGGAGCTCTGGTGGCCTAATAGTAAGGAACTGTGCTGCCAACCAAAAGGCAGGCAGTTTGAATCTATCAGCTACACTGAGGAAGAAAAATAGGAACTCTCCTCCCATGTACTGCCTCTGAAAGTCCACTGGAGGGTCAGCTATGAATTGATTCCAACTCAGAGTTACGCAACATCATTTATTTAATCAATAAGCAATTGCCAACGTCTTGCATGTCCAGCCTTGCACTGGGTAATGAGATAGTGACATTGCCCTCACAGGGCCTCCAATCTCCTGAGGCAGGCGGCTCCTTTAACATATAATGACAGCCCTCAGTGACAAGGACTGTGATGGGGAAATACCCAGAGGAGGCACCTGACCCAGCCTGGAAAGTCAAGGAGGGGAGGAGAGTTCTCTACCTCCTTTCAGTGTCTCCCGCAGCAAGAAATCAAGAAAAAAGACCCAGAGGATAATGGTTAGGGATAGGTTGTCAATTGATCTTCTTCTTTTTTTCTCCTCCCCAGGCATCGCCTTCTCCAATGGAGAACGGTGGAAGGCCTTGAGGAGGTTCTCTGTTCAGATCCTGCGGAACTTTGGGATGGGAAAGAGGAGCATTGAAGAGCGGATCATAGAGGAAGGCCGCTTTCTGCTGGCAGAGCTGCGGAAGACTGAAGGTCAGAGTCCAGTGCAACCTTATGGCCAGCTCATGCCTACCATACTTAAGGATCAAGGCTGCTCATAGCTGGATGTACACTCACAAGCCTTAGAAGGTCCTTCGCTGAGCTCACGAGGGGAACAGCGCCCTCTGGAGGTAGATAGGCTCGCGCTGTTGTTTCCTTGGTGGCAGGAGATAAATTAAGTGGTGTGGCTCTGTGGGCTCCCCATCCCGATGACTGTGTGATAGTCTGAGAATGACCCACAAGCAGGTTTTCAGAAGCTGTAACTCGCACAGTCTTTCTCCCTCAGAGCAGCTGATGGATTCGAACCAGTTGGCAGCACAACTCTTTACCACCAGAGCTCCCCAGTTTGAGAATAGTTTGTAAAATTGCATGGTGATGTGCTAATGATAGCGATGCTCTTGAGAAATCACTCACGCACAATGTGACTTTTAAATCTCAGACCAACCCATTTTGCAGATTAGGAAATGGAGGTGCACAGAGGTGAAAGAACAGACCTGAAATAACACCACTAGCTGTTGTTATTGTTATTGTTGCTGTGTTCTGTAGAGTTGGAAGCAACCCATAGCTGACCCTCCAGCAGGTTTTCAGAGGCAGTTAATCACATGGGAGGAGATTCTCTGTTTCCTGTGGAGCAGCTAGTGGATTCGAACCGTGTGCCTTCGGCATTGCAGCACAGCTTCTTATCACTAGGCCACCAGAGCTCCCACATCATTAGGAAATAGTTACTATTGGGTTCATTGAGTCAGTGCTAACTCAGTGACTCTATATACAACTGAACAAAACTCTGCTTGATTCTGTTCCATCCTCATATCTCTGATGCTGCTTCATTAAGCCCATTGTTGCTGCTACTGTGTCGATCCACTTTGCTGAGGGCCTTCCACCTCACCAACCCCCTACTTTCCCAAGCATGATCTCTTTCTCCAGAGTTTGGCTCCTTCTAATAACATGTCTGAATTATGTGAGGTGAAGTCTCACCATCCTTGTTTCTAATCAGCAGTCTGACTGCCCTCTGTCAGTATGGCAGACTGTGGTGGCCTGAGTGTGGCTGTGACTCTAGGAGCCATGGCCTCCTGTACTTCAGGTACTTCACTGTGGACGGGTTTCAGCAAAGCTTCCAGGCTAAAATAAACTAGGAGGCCAGCCTGGCCACCACTTCTCAAACAGCAGGCCCTGGAAAACCCGATGGACAGCAGAGGAGAACATAAATTCAGATCCACTGACACCAAAGTCTGCACTCAGCACACTAACATGCTAAGAAGTTGTGCTGCCAATTCAAAGGCAGTAGGTTTTGAATCCACCACCTGTTTCACAGTAGAAAGGCTATCTCCTCCCATGTGATTTACAGCCTCTGAATAGCTGCTGGAGAGTTAGCTATGAGTTGGTTCTGCCTTGACAACATATAACAACCAACAATAACCAAAGGCTGGCAATTCAGATCCACCCGCTGCTCCATGGGACAGATTTAAACCCTTGGAAATCCAATAGAGTGCTGTCAAAACTGACTCCCTCACTTCCCGACAGCAGGCTTGGTTTTGGTTGGCTTTTTTTAAAGGAGGGGTATTATGTCAAAGAAGTCCTTGTGGCACAGTGCCTTACATACTGAGCTGGTAACCAAAAGACAAGTAGTTCAAATTCACTAGGAGATGCTCAATTTTCTTTAGGAATATTTACAGCGTTTGAAATCCCATGGAGAATCGCTACCAGTTAGAATCTACTCTCAAGCAATGAGAGCGCTTAATGCTAAATTCTTCACCTTTGTTAACTCCTTTCACCCTCTCAGCTACTGTAAGAAATGGGTAGCTTTTGTGGACTAGTGATAAGGAACCACACTGCCAACCACCCAAAGACATGCAGTTCAAATCCACAAGCTGCTCAATGGAAGAAAGATGGACAAACATCCACCATCCCAGTCCATAGAAAGTGGCTACTGTTACAGGTGAGGAAATTGAGGCCCAGAAGGATTAAGCCAGGTGACCTAAAAGTCACACTATCAGGAAGGGGTGGGGAGAACAACCAAAACTTAATCCTATCATAAGAGCCTTGAATATCACTTAAATTTCTCTGTATATGTCCTTAGAAAGGAAGCCCTAGTGGCCTAGTAGTAAAAATCTGTGCTGCACTCCTCAAGGTACATGGTTCAAATCCACCACTGCTCCACGGAGAAAGTTAATCTCTCATTCAGTTAACTGCCCATGAAAACCCTCTGGAGGGTCAGCTATAGGTCAGTTCTGTGTTGATGGTACACAACAATGTCCTTGGAATATCACTGTGTATACCCTTGGAATATAATTGTGTATATCCTTGATATAGAGCATGTTATCAACCCCATTTCACAGAATGGGAAACTGTCAACAAGACTAGAGTGTCCCCTTGCTGGGGACTGTTGTCAATGTGCTTGAGGACAACGTGGCTCTTGGCTGGTAAATATTTTGAGGTGCTGTAATGCTGTGTATGTTCTACATTGTAATCACATTGGCACAGGCCAAGGGGAGGTTGTGCAAAGCCCGATTGTTGCCCTCAGGGCTCTGTCAAGTGACCCATGGCAACCCTCACCCTCAGGTGAGCCTTTCGACCCCAAGTACGTGCTGAGCCGGTCTGTGTCCAACATCATCTGCTCGGTGATCTTTGGGAGCCGCTTCGATTATGAGGACGAGCGTCTGCTCACCATTATTAAACTCATCAATGACAACTTTCAAATCATGAGCAGCCCCTGGGGAGAGGTCTGGAGCCAAAATCACCTGGGAGGGACGTGGGCGGAAGTCCTGGGGTGGGATGCAGGGGTCAAGAAAAGCTGGCAGAGAAGGGTCTGAAATTAGCCCTGCTTGACCGATCTCCTAGCCACGCCCTTTCCTACACAACCCACTTTCCACCTTGCTTAGTCTGTCCAACATGTGGCTGCCCCTCCTTACGTGACTCTTCACCCACTTACCTGACCTACCCTGACCCCCAACTGCCACTACAGTGTCCTGCCTGCCCCTCCTAACCACCACCCGACATTGTCTGGTCTCGTAGATGTACAATATCTTCCCAAGCCTCCTGGACTGGGTGCCCGGGCCCCATCGACGTCTCTTCCAGAATTATGGTCGTATGAAAGATCTCATTGCCTGCAGCGTCCGTGAACACCAGGCCACTCTTGACCCCAATTCTCCCCGGGACTTCATCGATTGCTTCCTGACCAAGATGGCACAAGTACGCCAGGCCGAGAAGTCCCACCTCGCTCTGACTTGAAGCCTTTCTGCTGCTGTGGCCTCCACGCAGCAGGAATGCCGGGTTAGGCAGGCTCTGGGATGGTTTTCCCACAACCAGGTGAAACAGAACACCCGGCCCCGCTGGGCTGAAGCCCAGAACCTGGGAGGGAGGGAGGGACCGTCAATTAACAGCTTAATCAGAAATCGTTAAGATTCTGTCCAAGATGCTAATTGTGAGCCCTGTGGCTGAGATTTTTTCCCCCAATCTGTGCTTCCGCGCTCTCCAGCTTCCCCCAAGGGCAGGAAGTTAAACAGACGAGATTGAACCTGCATGTCCCGAGGGAACCTCCCGTGGCGGGTTCCCCGGCCCACAGCCCCATCCCTCTACCCCTGCAGGAGAAGCAGGACCCGCTGAGCCACTTCTACATGGATACTCTGCTAATGACCACACACAACCTGCTCTTCGGAGGCACAGAGACGGTCGGAACCACGCTGCGCCATGCCTTCCTTGTGCTAATGAAGTACCCGGAAGTGCAAGGTGCGCAGGCCCGGGGCGCCCCTCAACACCACTCAGCTCCGCCTCCCAGGCTGGCCCCGCCCACAGGCCCTAGCCTCCCGCCTCCCAGCCCCGCCCACACACCAGGGCCAAGGTCACCGCCTGGCCCGCCCCCTCCAGTCCCCCGCTTTGCAGGCAATCTACTTTGACACTCGGAAGAAGCTGATCCTCACTCATGGCCTTCATGGTCCACCCTGCTGCCTGGACCCAGATCTCTCCTGCCTCATAGTCAGTCTGCTTTCGCAGGCCGCCTTTGATCCGAGTTACATCTGGCCTGAATTACCTCTGACCCGGGCTACATCTGACCCGGCCCACCTCTGACCCTCCTTACACTGGAAGCCCCTGCCAAGGGAGTCCAATCCCGACCTCATTTATGCAATATGACCGACTCACACCGAGCTGTCTACGTCCCACCTCTCCAGTGCTAATTTGAACCCAGACCTCTAGGACAGCGTCCCGTGTTCGACTGAACCCAAACCTCCTGCCTCGCAGCTCTGACCTTGTTCTTTTGAAAACACCGCCCACTCCCTCTCTCCAGGCGGCTATAAGTGGCCTAGTAGTTAAGGAGTTGTTCTGTCAACCTCAAGACAAGCAATTCGAATCCATCGGCTACTCTGGGGAAGAAAAATGGGCAATCTCCTCCCATGTTATTTACCACCTCTGAAAACCCTCAACAGCAATGAGGAATTTTTTTTTTTTTGGTACCCCTCCAGGTAGCGCCAGAGACACACATGCGCGCGCGCGCACACACACACACACACACACACACCCCTTTCCCTCTTCCCAGCCGAGCTGCGCCCCACTGTGGGTGCTGCACTCCGCTTCTAGCCCTGCTTTTCCTCACCCTCAGTCAGCGTGCAGGAGGAGATTGACCGCGTGGTGGGGCGCGCGAGGCTGCCGTCGCTGGATGACCGTGCGGCCATGCCCTACACGGACGCCGTGATCCACGAGGTACAGCGCTTCGCAGACGTCATCCCCATGAACCTGCCGCACCGCGTCATCCGGGACACGGCCTTCCGCGGCTTTCTGCTACCTAAGGTGCGCGAGGCACCTGGCGAGAGACATCTGGCACCTTAGGAAGAGCCATCCCAGGACTTAGTCACTTACAAACGCGAGGATTCCGGGCGCCTGGACTTTGGCAGCTGTCACTTTCAGCCCTAATCACAGCATTTGAGGCCCTCAAACTCTGAGCCTCAGCCCCTTCTCATGACCCCTTCGCGTTTTGTAGTGGGCCGGACCCCATTCTAAATCTCACACTCCTTCCCCATGATAGCGAAATTTCCGAGCCTAAGACTTTATTCCTCATGTCCAGTTATTGTTTGTAGAGACTTTGCTCCATTCCTCCCAAAAAACCCCAAATCTTCCCCCATAAAAGAGTGTGTCCCCAAAAACTGTTATCAGATGAAGCAACACAACTTCTAGCACCCTACAGTCAGAAACCTGGACCTCTGCGCACATTTTCTGGCTCCCTGTTCATGTCTCCCACCAAATTCCCCAGCCTGGCGGAAGGGAACCCTAGTTCTAAACCACCCCGCCCCTCAAGCCTAAAATAAAATAACCCCTCTCTTTCCCACTCTCAGGGCACAGATGTAATCACTCTCCTTAACACCGTGCACTACGACCCTAGCCAGTTCCTGACGCCCCAAAAGTTCAACCCCGAACATTTTCTGGATGCAAATCGGTCCTTCAAGAAGAGCCCTGCCTTCATGCCCTTCTCAGCAGGTAAGGGCAGTGGAAGTGGGAGTCAATGTCTAATTTCTACCTGCCTTCACCATTTTCATTCACTCCTCAAACTGCACTTAATAATCCCTAAGAGAAAAAAAATAATCCCACCCCATCTACCCCTCTCAGTTTAACTCCTCGAAGGGGGGGTGTTTTGGTTGTGTTGGGGTTTTTTTGTTTGGTTGGTTTTTTTTTAGCAAATTGTGGGTTAAATTCTGTGAAGGGCAGCGGAGAAATAGGACAGCCGTGAACTTCGGAATCCGTCACTGTCAATCTCTCCACTAGGTGGCGCAGCTGAGCCGGTTTTAGTTCTTGGCTTTGAACTTGATTGTGCTTTTTCAAAAACTTCCACCACGAACATAGCGTCTCAATTCTCATTTCATTGGGTTATATTCCTAGTAGTGGAATAGCTGGGTCATAACGGTTTCTAGGTTCAGCCTTCTGAAGAAACGCCAAACTGCCTTCCAGAGGAGTTGTATGTACCATTTCACAATCCCACTAATACTGTATGAGAATTCTTATCTCTCCACACCCTCTTCAACATTTATCTATTGCTTGCTGCCCTGCTAAACTTTGCCACTTACCTGGGCTGAGATGGTATCTCATTGCGGTTTTGATTTGCATCTCTCTTATCACCAGTGGTTTTGAGCATTTCTTCATGTGTCCATTGGCAAAAAACAAAAGTTCCATCATTTCTCAGTAGTTGTGCGGAGGAGGGAGCGGGCAGGCGCAGAGGCAGGGGGGAAGGGCAGAGGCGAGGGAGGGGGAGAGAGGAAGGAGGACATAATAATAGGAGCAGTTCACCCCGGTGGCATGGTAGGGTGTGTTTAGGATAGTAACTGAAAATTACCTCAGAAAGGTGAGGCTATCTGGTTCGGTAAGATTTACAGACGCAGAACCTCAATAGAGGGTCCCCAAGAGTCAGAATCCACTCAAAAGCAGTGGGTTAACCTTATGGCAGAAGCCCTGGTGACTCAATGGTTAAGCGTTTGGTTGCTTACCAAGGTTATTGGTTTAAACCAGCAGTCCTTTCGCAGGACAAATGATGTGGCAATGTGCTCCCATAAAGCTTATAACTCTGAAGGGCAGTTCTGCTTTGCTGAGGGGTGGCTATGAGGCAGGGCTGACTTGATACCACACAACCACCACCATAACTGCCTATTGTGGGACAAATGTTGTTTCCCTTAGGACACCTGTAATAAGGATTAGTGCATAAAAGCTGGGTTGTAGGCAGACCCTGGGAATTTGCATCCCAGCTGTGCCACTTCCTAGCTGTGTGACCTCGGAAATATTACTTCACCTTTCTGTGCCAGTTCTAGGAGTGCGTGAAATAATAATGATAATAGTGCCTAGAATACTGTACTGTTGTTATGCGTCTTCGAGTGGGAACTGACCCTGCGTAGCTGACCCTCCAACGAGTTTTCAAAGACAGTAAATCACACTGGAGGAAATTACACAAATCTTTCTCCCATCAAAGCAGCTGATAGAGTCCAACCTCGTGGCTTCAAGTGAGAAGCACAAATTCTTAGCAGCAGAGCTTCGTGAACTGTGGCTAGAAGAGTTAAATCGCTTGCCCAAGAGCACAAAATTGGTAGTGGTAGAGTCAAGAGTTCAAACCCTAAGCGACAGTCACACTTGCATCGTCAGGTCATTTGACTACAGCATTTACATGAGGCCTTTCCCCAGACCTTTACACGGAGGAGTGACAGCCCTTGGAGATTGGCAGTGGGAGGTCTCCGACACCGCTCTCTCTTCCCCTGCACTCTTCCTCCCCACGTAGGGCGCCGCCTGTGCCTGGGCGAGTCGCTGGCACGCATGGAGCTCTTCCTCTACCTCACGGCCATCCTGCAGAGCTTTACGCTGCAGCCGCTGGGGGCGCCCGAGGACATCGACCTGACCCCGCTCAGCTCGGGCCTCGGCAATTTGCCACGGCCCTTCGAGATGTGCCTGCGCGCGCGCTGATGCCCAGGACCTCCTCCCCTTCAGATGTGCCCAACGCAGACTATGGAGCTCGCCCCTCTTCTTGGGTCACTGTCGGCCTCATCCCTCTTGTCATACTGTCTTCCCAGCACCCGCTGCCTTCCATCTTCACTGGACCTGCAACTGCCTCCCACCCCGCCCCAGGCAGAGAAGCAGACCCCTATTTTCTCAAAGACCGTTCCCAGTGATATGCCCTTTCTCGGACTTTTTGGTATTGTTTCCTAATAAACTACCTTTATATAGACTTAAACCTGTCGTAGCTCAATTAAGAGGAGAAGGACTGAGGAATAGGAGGAGGGGAGTGTCTGAGGAGTTCACTCTCTCAATCCGGGCTGTTGCGGTAAGAGAAAGGGCTTTTTGGAGATAGGCTGGAAGGTGAGGGGTGTGAAGATTGAGAAACCAAGACAACACCTAGATAGCGAACAGAGCAAAACTGGGGGAGATGCGGGGCCATGTACAAAGGCAAAGCGGCACGCTGACAGAAAGCAAGAGAATCCAGAACTCAGATACAGTCAAGTAATATATTACACAAAGGGGCACTGGTGGGACAGAGTACCCTCCGTGTTGGTCGGCTAACACAAAGGTCAGTGGTTTAAATGCAACAGGACTGCCAGGCAAAAAAGACGAGACTGTCTGCCACCATAAAGATTGACAGACTCCAAAACCCAATAGCAGGTCCCAGAGAGTCAGAAGGGACCTTACTCTTGGGCAGTGGGAGTGCTTACTATGCCACGGGCAACTCTAATCGCTTTCCTCACTGCTTCATTTTATTCTCCCTGCCAGGTAAATGTAGTCCCTGGGGGAAGCAAATGCTGACTACCAAAATACACACTGCTAACTGGAAGTCTGAAGGTTCTACTCCACCCAGGAGGATCTCAGAAAAAAGTCTCACAAACAAACAAACAAAAAATTAGCTGCTGAAAACTCTATGGAACACAGTTCTACAATGACATAGATGAAGTCACCAGGAGTCAGCCCCACCTGGTACATTGTTGTTGTCATTGTCATGCACCGTTGAGTCAGAAATGGCTCAGAGCTGACTCTCCAGCAGTTAATCGCAAGGGAGGAGATCGCCCATCTTTCTCCCACAGAGCCACTTGCTTTTGAGTTGGCAGCACACCTTACCACTAACCCACCAGAACTACGATGTGAGGCAAAAATACTCTCACATTTCTGCAGAGGAGTCAGTTGTGGCTCTGAGAGGCAAAGTGACTCACAGGAGAGCAGCAATCAGAAAAGGGCAAAGCTGGGATGTGAATGTGAGCACTGTCCTCACAAATCAGAGCCCCAGAGAAAGGGCTAAGACACCCTAGGGGCCAGAGAAAGGCAGAGAGCTACAGAGACTAAGCCATGAAAGGCCAGAGAATGAGAGAGATGAGAAGGAAATATCAAGAAATGACCAAAGGGAGGAATGAAGAAAAGCAGCAGAAAGAAACGAGGGGAAGGAAACAGAGAAAGACTCCTCCACGCCTCATCCTCTCTCTGGATTGTTTCTTTGCCCTCTAATTCCTCCTTTAGGGTTGAGGGCCTCCCAGTCTGAGACCAGACATGACACCTTGACATCCTACTGGTAGCTTTTCTCTGTGGGCGTGCAAGCATCCCAAGCTGCAACCTGCTGGGTTTAGGCAGAATGGAGTTGCATGCTCCCAGCCTTGGGCAGGGGCTGTCTGGGAAACCCTATCCTGAAACAGGGTCTCCAGGCCAGCCAGAAGCTGAGACATGCTCTGCTCAGCCTGGAACCAGCTGGGGTGAGGCTTCTAGGCGGTCTCCACTTGAGGCGTAGGCTCCTTAATCCCCACGCTGTTCCTACCACAGGCCGATCACAGAGTCTGCCCCAGGGCCCAGCCACAGAGATGAAGGGGAAAAGTGAGAGATGGGAGGACACAGAGGTCCTGGGAAAGAAAAACAGAAGGTGGTAAGGGCAAGGAGGATGTACAGAGATGCTGGGGAAAGAGACATGGATAGAGACAGCAGAGAGAAATCCTGACAAGCCAGGACTGGGTGCCAGGCCAAGAGAGAAAGGAGGAGAAATAGATGCTGGAGGGTTGGAGAGAAGACACAGAGAGAAATGCCTGGGAAAATGGAAGCAAAGATTCTGAGACAGAAATTGAAAGATGTACTGAGATGCACAGAGAGAGACAGAGCCAAGAGAAAAATGAGGGGGAATTAGAGAAACAAAGAAGAAGGAACTTAGAGAGACAGAGGTCCCACTAGATGAGAAGAGAAGACAGACAGTCACAGGCATTTAGAGAAAGAGATTTGAGAGGGAAATAAAATGAATTAAAGAGACAGGGCCACAGAGGTAGAAAGGGACAAAGAGTGCTGTGCATTCAACAAATATTTCCCTTTTTTAATAATAATTTTTTTCACTGTGCCATTTTCTTCTGCCCCACACACACACTCTGCAATGCACCCCTCGTTCCAGACTGTTGTTCTGCATATAATGCCTAATCATATATTCCTTTTGGACGGCTCTTCCCATCTTCTGTTCTAATGCAGTGTTCATTATCTATCCATTTTATCCCCATTCTCTCCCCAACATGCACCCCATGTCTGTCCTATTTTATAACAGAGGTGTTATGCAGTGTTTGTCCTTTAGTGATTGATATTTTATTCAGGATAATGTCCTCCAGGCTCCCCTGTGTTGTGTAACATTTTACAACTTCATTGTTTTTCAGTGCTGCATAATATTCCATTATATGAATGTGCCATAGTTTTCTATCCATTTGTTTGTTGATAAACTCAACAACTATTTCTTGAGCACCCACTATGTGCTGTTGTTGAGGACTGTACAGGATAAGGAAAGGTTCAGATATGTTGTTCATAGAATTGCAATAGGTTGTAGTTGACTCAACAGCACCTGACAACAACAACTGTGTGCTAAAGAATCCCCAGGTAGTATAAACTGTTAAGACAATTGAAAAATTGGTAGTTCCAGACCACCTAGAGACACCCTAAAGGTCATCTACTTCTGAAAAATGCCCATTGGAAACCCCGGAACACACAGCTCTACTCTGGCATACATAGGGTTGCCATGAGTTAGAATCAACTCCATCAAACTGTTTTATGTACCATATGTAAAACGGCTGTAGGCATTGGGGAAACAGAAGTGAACAAGGTAGACAATTCCCCTGCCATGGAAGAGGGACCAAGAGAGTACCCCACAGAGCAAAATGAAGTGGAAAGAACTCAGAGTTGAAGAGAAAATTGGAGACCCTATCAAAGAGGACCCATCAGAGAGCTGACTATTGTGTTGCAGAGGGAACGTCTAGGCTGTCCTGCCATGCCCTCACTATCTGTGGGGCCAACACCTCAGAGCAGGGTTCAAAAAAAAATCTCTTCACTAAGTTCCTGGTCTTGCAGTTAAGGAGAGCCATGGGAGAGGCATAGAGAGGCTATCAGACTAAGTGAGACAGACTTGGAAAGCAGGACAGAGATGAGGAGAGAGGAAGGGAGAGATGCAGATGTTGAAAGAGAGGCAGGAGTGCTGAAAAAGAAATAGGCTAAGGGCAGGATACACAGAAAGAAACAGCAAAGGGATCGAGAGGAGAACAAAAAAGCAGAGAAGGACTCAAACAGAGGGAGAGTAAAACAGAGAGATGATGGAAATGGACAGGCAGACCCAGAAACTGAGAAGAAGGAAGACATTGGAAGAGGAAACAAATATAGACTAGAAAGTAAGAAGCATTCCTGGGGCAAGGTCAACCGTGTCTCTTCCTCAGGCCCCCGTCCTGCCAGGCAGGATCAGACAAGGCAGGATAGGCAGAGGAAATATGTTGCTGATTTGCTATATAAAAGCAATAATCAAGTATACTTAATGATAGACATAATCACTTACTTTAACTAAGTACTGTATTTATAGTCTATTGAAATAATTTTTATATGTTGTTGTTATGTACCATTGAGTTGCTTGCAACTCATAGTGACCCAATGTACAACAGCCCTGAAACCTGCTCTATACTGTGCCAATCTCACTGTCTCTGACACACCTACCCTCATTACTCCAGTCACTGAATCAATCTATTTAATCGATGGTCTCCCTCTCTTTCTCCCTTCCTCCACCCTTCCAAAGCAAGAACTGGTCCCTCCTTGCAACATAACCATATATGTCAGACAAAACGTAAGAATCCTTGCCTCCAAGGAGCATCCTGGCTTCACCCTCTCTAGGATGAATCTGCTTGTACTCCTAGAAGTCCATGGTATATTCGACACTCTGCTCCAGCTCAAAGGCATCAATTCTCTTTCTATCCCCTATGGTCATTGTCCAGTTCTCTGATGAATAGCAAGCAATTGTGAAGACTATGGCCTAGATTAGGTGCACCTTAATCTCCAGACTGATGTCGTTGCTCTTCACTACTCTGGAGAGATCCCTAACAGCCAATTTTCCCAGTGCAATTAATCTCTTGATTTCCTGGCTGCTGGTACCAAGAGTGTTGATTGTGGAGCCAAGCAAACTAAATCTGTTAACAGTCTCAATATCTTCACCATCTATCATAATGCTACCAGTTGGGCAGTGATATTTGAGTGATATGGGCCTAAGAAATATAAAGGGAACTCAGTTGGCATCGTTTATTGGGAGTTGCACTACTAACTCAAGGTGGCACTTCTCTATTTTAATCCACCAGCAGCTCTGGGAGAGAAAGATGGGCAATATCCTCCCGTGGGATTTACAGCCTTGGAAAACCCAATTTGGGCCACAGTACTGAGCAATCCGTACTTACTACTCAACTCAGCCTCTCTCCCTCATCCTGGTCCTTTACAGCTGGGAGTGTCTCCTCTAGCCATGCCTAAGGGGCCCGGGAAATAAGGGGTAACTTTGTCATGGACTGGTAAAAATGGAGTGCTCTCTAGGGAGGCTTGGAGGCCTGAAGGAGCAGTCGCATGGGCACAGGGCATTTGGGTCACCTGGCCAGTAAAGAAGGACTCTGAAGGGCATATTGTGTGACGTATCAGGCTGCCAACCAGAAGGCCAGTAATGTGACTACACCAGAGAAAGGTGAGTAGCTTCATTCCATAGAGATTTACAGCCTTGGGAATCTGGTGGAGGGTAGCTAGGAGAGGGCAGTGAGCTGGGGTTTTTTGTTTGGTGTGGTTTGTTGTGGTTATCAGGTGCCATTGAGTCGACTACAACACATAACGACCTATGAATAACAGATCTGAATTCTGCCCTACCCTACACCATCCTCATCTCGGTTGGGCTCTCACCCATTGTTACTCACTGTGTCAGTCCTCTTGAGGGTCTTCCTCCCTTTCTCTGACGCTCCACCTTCCTTAGCATAATGTCTTTTTCTAAGACTTGGCCCCTCCTGCACTGTGCCAAAGCCTACAAGGCAGCTTCACTGTCCCTGCCTTTAAGGAGCACTCTGGTTGCTCTTCCTCCAAGACTTACCTGTTTGATTTTTTTGCAGACAACGGGACATTCAGTACTCTTCTCCAACACCACAACTCAAAGGCATTGATTCTCCTTCTGCCATCCTTATTCATTGTTCAACTTTCCTTTTTTGGTATTGCAGTTTTCTTTTTTTCACTGTTGCACATTTTCTTCCCTCTTCCCCCTCCCTTTGCCTGTAATGTATACCTTGTTCTAGACTGTAATTATACTCCAACTTTCAGATGAAGTTGTATATGAACTGAAAATGTCATGGCTTAGATCAGATGCACTTTAGTCTTTAAACTGATGTCATTACTCTTGAGCACTTTGGAAGGTCCTTGACAGCAGATGTTTCCAATTCAACATGTCTTTGGGTTTCTTGACTACTGATACCAAGGGTGTTGATTGTGATGTTGTTAAGTGCCATTGAGTCATAGCAATCCTATGAACAACAGGTATAAGCCCTGTCCTACCTGTGCCACACTCACAGTCTCTGACACACTTGAGCCCATTGCTGCAGTCACTGTATCAATCCACTGAGTTAAGATTCTTCCTCTCCTTAACTGTCTCTCCACCTTCCCATGCATAATGTCTCTTTCCAAGGAATAGACTCTACTAGCAACATACCCAAAGTATATGAGATGAAGCTTTATTTTTGTCTCCAAGGAACACTCTGGCTGCACCTTCTCCAAGACATATCTGTTTCTTTTGGCAGTCCATGGGATCTTCAGCACTATTCTCCAGCACCACAATTCAAAGGTATCAATTCCTCATCTGCCAACCTTAGTCATGGTCCAGCTTTCAGGTGCACACAAGTTTTGAACAGACCATGGCCTGAACCAGATGATTCTGACATCCTCAATTTGGAGAGATCCTTGACTATAGACTTTTCCAGTGCAATACATCTCCTGATCTTCTGGCTACTGAAGCCAAGTGTATTGATTGTGTATCCAAGTAAGATAAAGTAGTTGACAATTTCAATCTTTTCTCCATCTATCATGAAGGCATTGGCAAATAATAAGGCCCCAGGAATTGATGGGATACTAATTTAAATGTTTCAGATGATAGATGCAGCCCTGAACATGCTCACCCCTCTATGCCAATAAATTTGGAGAACAGTTGCTGGGCCAGCTGACTGGAAGAAATCCCATTTCCAAGACAAATGATCTAAGAGAATGTGGAAATTATCAAACAGTATCATTAATATCTCATGCAATCAAAACATTGATGAAGATCATCCAAAAATGGTTAAAATAGTACATAGAGAATTGCCAGACATTCAAGTTAGATTTAGGAGAGCCCATGGCATAAGGGCTATCATTGCTAATATCAGACAGACTCTGGCTAAAAAGCAAAAGATATCAGAGGAATGTCTATTTGTGCTTTATTGACTATGCAAAGGCATTTGATTGTGTGGATCCTAATGAGTTAAGACTAGCATTGAAAAGAATGGGGATTTCAGAACACTTAATTGTGCTGGTGTTGACTGTAACAGAGACTTGGAAATAAAGATGCCAGCAACTCAGGTGAGGGCATAAATAAGAAAGGGGACATAGAGGTGATTAATACAAGGGAAGAACCATAGGATAGGCACTGAAGTGCCAGGCCAGGTAGCTAAGAGAACTTGAGTGTCCACAGACAGATAGCCCACAGGGTGCCAGGAACCACGATCATGGGGGTAACAGGGGCTCAGATGTGTGTTTCTCATAATCATGGGCACAGAGCACGGAAAAGCCTGAGAGTCCTTTTAGGGGTCTATTTAGAGCAATACTTAATTACACAAGAGATTAATTAATTTTCAAAGGAACAGGGCATAATATTCAGAGGTCATAGCACGACTCAGGTGTGACAGAAAGGTCTCCAAGATGACTCAGGAAGGTGCACCTGTTGGCCAGGTGTATTAACACGAAAATTGCTGGTGTGTGGAAGTTTCAACAGTGCAGGCTGAGGCAGGTACAAAAAGGTTGGGGGGGGGGAAGCCTTGGGGAGTCAAATCCAAGGACTAGCGGGTGGAGGTGGAGACCTGAAGTTGGGGAATCCGTGGAATAAGCTCCTACAGACGCCCACCCCTCCCACATTTACTCCCGCCCCTGCTCCACCCAAGACCCCTGTGAATAAAAATAAAGATGAAGGCACATAGTCCTCATCGAGGACCGTGGGCAGGATGAACGCAGGCCTGGTAGCCCTGCTGCTGCTGTTGCTCCTGGTGATGGCGCTGGTGAGGCGCAGGCAGGGCGCGCGGGGCGCTAAGAGGCGAGGTGCCCTGCCTCCCGGGCCCGCGCCGCTCCCGCTGCTGGGGAACTTGCTGCAGCTGCGCTCTCAGCGCCTGGACTGTGCACTGATGGAGGTAACCCACAGCGCGGGCAAAAACAGACTTCTGAGTTTGTAGGGCAGAGGACTGGAAGTCCAAGTTTCTGGGCTAAGGGCCCCGACTCCGTGGGTCCTGAGGAAGGGTGAGGGGCTCTAACTCCTGAGTGCAGGGGCCGGGGAGGGAGGTCCTGAGAGAAAAGGAGACTGAGTCCACAAAGTAAAATCTCCCAGGCTGGGCTCCCGGATCAAGTAGGGGTGCTGGAACTCTTGGAACCTGAAAGAGGAACCCAAGGCAGGTTTTTGGGGAAAGAGGTCAAATCAAAAACCCAAACTCACTGCCTTCCAGTAAAGTAAAAATCATGGCTACTTTGTAGGACAGAGTAAAACACCCCATAGGGTTTGCAAGGCTGTAAATCTTTACAGAAGCAGCTGTTGGATTTGAACCACCAACCCTTTGGTTAGCAGCAGAGTCCTTTAACCCCTGCACCATCAGGGCTCCTGAAGAGAACACTTACCCACCTCCCACAGTAACCAAGTTGATTCCACTCATAGCAACCCTCCATCACGTTTCTGGGGCTGTAAATCTTTACGGATGCGAATGCCCATCTTTTTCCCACGGAGCTGCTGGTGGATTTGAACAGCCACCTTAGCATCCTCACACGTTACACACGATGCCACCAGGAATCATAAAGACAGCACAACGAGGTCGAATTCCTGGTCTAGAGAAAAGCAGGCTGAAAGTTTGGAAACCTAGATGCCTAGTTCTGAGGATGGAGGAGGCTTGGACCTGGACTTGGGGGCCTAAACTCCTGGACTGAGGAATGGGGAACAGGCCCAGGCCTCCTAGGTTTGAAGGGCTTGGGTGCACCTCTGGGTTCGTGGAGGGAGGGCAGGAGCCCAGAACCCGACCGGCTGAACTCCAGCTTCCTGCAGCTCTCTGGCCGCTGGGGCCCGGTGTTCACCGTGCGGTTAGGCCCACGCCCTGCGGTGGTGCTGTGCGGCTACACGGCGCTGCGGGACGCATTAGTGCTGCAGGCGGACACCTTCTCGGGCCGCGGGGCCATGGCTGTCTTCGAACGCTTCACACGCGGAAACGGTGAGGCCTGAGAAGCGAGAGCTCATGGACTGTGGGCAGGGTTGGACAGGCTGAAGCTTGTTGGGGAACTGTAGCCAACTCTGGCAAAAAAGAGGAGGAGGCTTAAGCAGGTGCGTACAAAATGAGGATAGGGAGGTATGGAGAGGGCAGAAGGAGGGGCCAAGGAGGAAAAAGAGACAACCAAGAGGTCAGTTAAGGAGGAGAGGGAAAAGTTGCCAAGAGGATCCACAAATTGGAGTCCTGGGAAAGGGTGTGGCTACGGACGGGCGTGGCCAACTGGCAAGCCCAGCCCTCTTCTCTACAACGCAGGCATCGTCTTTTCTAATGGTGCGCGCTGGCTGACCCTGCGCAATTTTGCACTTGGAGCCCTGAAGGAGTTCGGGCTAGGAAAGCGGACCATCGAAGAGCGTGTCCTGGAGGAAGCAGCTTGTCTACTTGGTGAATTTCAAGCCACCGTTGGTGCGTCCCAACTGGGAAAGAGGAGGGGGCTGGTGGGGGAATGGCCAGTGGATAGTGGAAGAAAAGTCACCACATCCAGAGCTGAGGACAGAGCTACAGCTTTGTAACCCCATCCTGTCCTCATCCTCAGGAGTCCCTTTCGACCCGAGGCGGCTACTGGACAATGCTGTGTCCAATGTTATCTGTTCGGTGGTCTTTGGGAGTCGCTACGGCTACGGGGACCCGGAGTTCCTGAGGCTCCTGGATCTCTTCAATGACAACTTCCGCATCATGAGTTCCAGATGGGGCGAGGTGAGAAGGATCTCGTCTGTGACAGAGCTCCCGTGTTTTGTGCCAGAGTACAGACCTTTGCATCATTGAGGCAGCAATCTCAGAATGGATATTTCTAGAACCTGAAATAGTCAAGTCTTTAGAGGAAAACAGAGGCTGAGCGACCTTCTCAAAGGTCCTACTGAAATCCTTTCTCCCCAGATGTACAATATTTTCCCTTCTTTCCTGGACTGGCTCCCGGGCCCGCACCATCGAATCTTCCGAAACTTTGCAGAGCTGCGGGTCTTCATCTCTGAGCAGATCCAGCGGCACAGACAGACACGCCAGCCCGGGGAGCCCCGAGATTTTATCGACTGCTTCCTTGACCAGATTGATAAGGTGTGGGCCCCTGCGTACCCCAAGCACTCTCCTCTCCGCCCTTCCATAGGTGTGTGGGCCTCTCGCAGCACCCGTCTCCTTTCACCGCAGGAACCGCAGGACGCAGAGGGTCATTTTCAGGAGGAGACCCTGGTGATGACCACACACAACCTTTTCTTCGGAGGAACGGAGACTACAAGCACCACTCTGCGCTATGGGATTCTCATTCTGCTCAAGTACCCGGAGGTGGCAGGTCTGAGAGCTTGGGTGGCGCGGGATGAAGGGCTGGGGCTCGAGGGTGGTGGGAAGCCTGAGGCGCGGGGCTCATGGCCTCCACCGGCTCCAGCGAAGTTGCAGGCGGAGCTGGATGAGGTGGTGGGTCGAGCCCGCCCCCCGGTTCAGGCCGACCGCGCACACCTGCCCTACACCAACGCGGTGCTTCACGAGATCCAGCGTTTCATCAGCGTGCTGCCACTGGGGCTGCCGCGCGCCCTCACCCGCGACACCCACCTGCGCGGCCACTTCCTGCCCAAGGTGCCCACAGAGCCCCGGGAGGCAGCGCGAGGGCGGGGATGCGAACCCTCATCAATCAGAAAGGCAGCCAGGGGCAACCACTTGAACTACGTTGATTGATGCCCTTGGCCCTGGGGGGCTGGAGGAAAAAGGAAGCTGGGTCCACAGACCCACGCCAGAGCAAACCACAACCTTGTTCACACGCCGCAGGCACTAAAGTGAAGGGGGGGGGGGCACACGTGCTGGGCTACTTGCTGACTCAGTATCAACCTCCCACTAGGGCACCTTCGTGATCCCTCTGCTTGCGTCAGCGCACCGCGATCCCACTCAATTCAAGGACCCGGACAGTTTCAACCCCAGCAACTTCCTGGACGACAAGGGCGAATTCAAAAGCAACGATGCCTTCATGCCTTTTGCCCCAGGTCCATACTGGGGAGGAAGAGGGCCGGTCTGGTCCAGCCTTTAAGTGTGTGAGGTGCTCACAGTGCATCCCTATGTTCTCAGGAAAGCGGATGTGCCTGGGTGCCAGCCTGGCCCGAAGCGAGATCTTCCTCTTCTTTACCGCCATACTCCAGCGGTTCTGTCTCCTCCCTACAGGGAGCCCCGCAGACATCGACCTAACCCCTCAGTGCACTGGGCTGGGCAACGTGCCCCCTGCCTTCCAGCTCCGCGTTGTGGCCCGGTAAAAGAAAACCCCAGCCACCTCAGCTCATCAACCCCCAGGCTTCCTCGGTCCCCATGGTCAATAAAGGTCCTGAACTGCAGATTTGAGGCACTCCTTACAAAGAGGGTGAGGGGAAACACTAAACAAGGTGTGTGCAGCTCTGAGGTAAACTTTATTTCTTTGCTGAATTTCCATACTCATGCTCCTGCAGGCACCTCTTCCCCTGCCAGGCAGTGTCGCCCAGCCAAAAAGGTGCTGTGACCAAGGGGGCTGGGGAGTCACTTCACATTCCAGGCTGGAGGAGTGAGGGGCTTGGGCAAACACCCCACACAAACCTTTGCCAGCAAGAGGCCATGACTCACCCAACCCTCGAGTCCAGCATTCTGGTAGGAGTGCCCACTTCCGGCTCTCCACAGCAGGCAGGGGCTCAAGTAGAAAGGGCAGGACACAGGCCTACCCCTGAGCCCTAAAAATGGCCCCTACCCAGGTCCCAGCCTCAAATCCGACCACCAGTACGGGCCGCAGAGATCCCTCCTTGGTCCTCAGTGATGGGCAGAGCCCACCACACCAGGCAGGATAGAGGCAAAGGTGGAAGCAGCAATGGTGGCCAGGCAGGAGCAGGCACTGGAGACTGGTGAGCTGCCAGCCTAGCAGGGGTCCCCAGGCTGTCCTGAAGTCGGGGTACGCTGTCCCTCCATGCGGCTCCGAGGGTAGTCATTACACGGGAGTGGCCGGCTGTGACGTGGCACTTGGACACCCCTCTGTTCTGATGGTGGGAAAAAGGGCAAGAGATATAGAGGTCAGGGGAGAGGCTAAAGGCCAAGGAAAATCTGGGAAAGGTACCAGAGGACCAGATGAAATGGGGTACCAGGAGAGTAGACTAACAAATAGAGTCAGAGGAGAAGGAAAATGAGAGGAAGACTTACTTATTAAGACAGAGAAGACAGTGAGGTCTGGTGGGGAATGAGTGGAGCAGAAAGGCCAAGGGGGAAAGGGTGGTGTTTGGGAGTAGATACCTAGCTGATATTTGTCTTTGGCTGCGGCCCGCTCCTTGGCATCAAAATACCAGACGGTGATAGCGTACCTGGGGGCCAAAGAAAACCCCGGGGGTGGGGGCAGCTAAAGTCACTTTTCTACCATTACTGCCTCCATATCCACAATGCCAAGACAGCCCACATTCCCACCCAGGTTCCCTCTCAGCCCCTCTTCACTCCCTATTTTTGTAGAGGTGTGAGGAACGGTGCTGACAAAACAGTGCTGGCTCAGGGGAACATAAACCCTGACATTAAAGTCCTACCTGGTGGCATAGGCTGGCTTCACCTGGTGGGGATTCCGCCGGTCAGACCAGAAAACCAGGAGCCGGTCAAAGAGTGGCTCAATGTTGGCTACCACTGGCCGGCCCTCGGGGAAGATCTGCAGCAGGCCGCCATGCACCTGGGGGCAGGCCAGACGATGAGGCAGGTCGCCGATCTTGCAGAAGGCCCTGGCCTTGCACTGCCCGGAGGAGCCCACCAGGGGGCAGGCATCACTCCCTCCCAACACCCAGGCTGTGGCTCTTAAAATGAATGACAACCCAGAGTCTGCATCACCATGGAGATAAGCAGGAAGCTACTAAAGAAGACAGGAAATGGGGGAAGTGTTCATGACAAGGGCCGGTGGAGCCGGGTGGACGGCACCATTTCCTGAAGGTGGGGGAGTGAACTCTAGTCACGGGGAAGGAGGTGCCATAACACAGGAAGGGCCAGCAGATGGCACCACCCTCTGTGCGTTGAGAGGAGAGCGAGAGAACCCAGACTCCCCTTGCGAGTGGTGAAAGGGGTGGAGATGCGATACGCAGCTCTGTGCCCTACCTTGACGTCCCAGTTCTGATTCAGGTAATAGATACAGGTGATGCAACGCCCGTCGCCGTGGGGATTGTCAACGTGCCTCACGTACCCCAGCCCATTGCCTGGGTAACACGCCACCATGGCCTGGCAGAGATGGGAGGGAGGTGGGGGTTACTGGAGCTAAGCATTTCAGTGGAGTAAAAACAAATGTCTCACATGTTCAGCAGGAGGGCTACAAAGCCCTAAGGCCAGGAGTCTTGCTCTTGGCTACAGAGTGGAACCACCTAGAGTTCTTAAAAATCCACCTCAAGGGGAAAAAAGGGGTTTTGATGTTAAGGCCCTACCACCAACCAATAATTCCAACATCCGACTATGTCAGAATTAAAACTGCTGCCTTTGACCACAAGGAATCTGTGGTAAATCAATGATTGATTTGCCTCATACATACGTGTCTGTGTTAATTTTGTGCCATGGACAAACTTAAAGCTGATGGTCCAAGAGGATTTCAGAAGCTGTTAAGTCACACAGGAGATTTGTCTTTCTCCCTCCAAGCAGCAAGTGAATGGGAAATCCCTGGACAGGCTGACATCCAGTGACCCTGTGCAGGCTCATCCGCAGGGTAGGCCTCTGCTGTGTTGTAAAATGAGGCTAACAAACACCTCCTCTGTTTACAGCAGTGGCATTAACCCCTAAGTGGGGTTGGGGGCCCCTAGCAGGGGGCAGCTCTGTTTGACTCATGCTGGTCCTTGGTTCGTTTCCCCTCCTGACAGGTGCCACACCCCGGCCCCTGCAGGTCCATTTCCTTGACACTGACAGAGAGGTGGCTGTGGTGGGCAACAGGGCACTGGTCATTCCCACAAACTCCCAGCTGCCTGAGCTGTGTGGCTTCAGCAAGGTGACTTTACTTTCCAGTCTCAAAGTTGCTTATCCACACAAAGATCTGGCAGCTAGCTACTTCTCATGCTGTGTAAACTGAACAAGCCTGTTCAGTGTCTGAGAAGGCCAAATGTCTGGGATAAGATGTCTGGGAGGGCCGAAAAGACTGAGATGACATTTGTGTTTTAAAGACAAGCCCCACTCTGCCCACCACATAAAGCCACTGAGGGGCTGGGGTGGGGGTGAGTGGTGCCTGCAAGCAAGAGGGACAGTATAAAGGCTCAGGATGGACTCTGCTGGCTGCTGCCTACCCACCCAATACCAACTACATCTGAGCTTTAAGACCTGGCCCAGTAAAACAGCCCAAGAACAACCACAATCAAACCGATGTGTTTGCTGCCAAAGCAGGAGGCTTGCCAAGGTTGACTCAACCCCCACCCAGCTTGCCCCAGACCTCCTTGCAGGCCACTATTACCAGGGTTCCAGCCGCACTGCTCTGCCTTCTACCTGTCACCTACTCCTGTCTGGCACCTGCTCTGAGGCCCAATCCTAGGGCAGTGAGGCTCCTGGATCTCAGATCTGCCAGTACGCAGGGTCCCCCTGCCCCATACCCCTCCCTCAGGGGGCCTTCTTTGCACTGCTCACTTTTCACAGATGGGAGCATAGACTGGGAGGGGGAGGAGACCTGGAATCAGTGAGTCACTCACTGGGATGCCATGTCTTCCCGGCGGGATTCCAAGCTGCAATCATACTTGGCTCTGCATGTGGATGGGATGGTCACACTGCCTTCCCTGTTGCCAACTTAGCCCTGCCACACTGCACCCTACATGCCAGCCAGAGTCCCACCGCTAGCTCCCCAAATGCAAACACAGAAAAATGCAAATTCTGACTATAGGCAATCCAGGTCCAGAGACTGGCACCAGCAATCCCATCTTACTCTGTTCCAGCTGCACCAGCCTCGCCACTGTCCCTGGAGTAGGCCTTTGCACCTGCTGGTCCTTTTGTCTGGAACAGTTTTCCCCAGTCCTCCTTGTTTTTCAGGTCTTGGATCAAAGGTCACCCTTTGCCTTCTTGGAGTGTTCCCACTGAAGGAACCCTGATTTCTCAATGCGTTCTCCCCACTGTGCAATCAGCGAGGACTTGTTTACCAAGCCCTGCTCAGACAGGCAGACCTGGGGGAGTACCTGAGAATGTCTCCCCAGGGCCTGGAAGGACTGTGGGCTGACAGCTCTCTGCTGGATTCCGGGGGCCAAGGCCCACCCCTGTTACCCTCACACCACCATACAGGCTGGAACACCCACAAGGGACATGGACACAGCCATGAAGGCTGGGCTCAGAAACAAGAACCTGCCCGACTCCCTCACATACTGGGGGGAGGGAGAACAACCTCAGGCCCCAAGAAAACACCTACTTCCTGCTCCAGACAAGGGAAAGTCTCAGCCCTCTGGGGCATCAGGACAAGGACAACTGAGGGCTGAAAGGTAGTGTTGGCATGGTTCCTAGCCTAAGGCAAGGGGAGTGGCAGCATCATAACCAGGAGATGAAAGAGTTAAAAGGCTATGAAATGTCACCCAAATCACACAAAAAAAGTGTAAAAGGGGAGGTCTGATCACAGTTCCACCCAAACATACACATATACACAACTCCCCAGTCAAAAGCCAGGACTGAGCAGGCCCCTCCTCCATCCAAGGTGCTCTTGGAAAGGCAAACTAGGTTAGCCTGGCCATTCCTGGGGTCCCCTCTGGTAGTCCTTTATGCTACTTGATGCTAATCACCTCTCTCTTATGTACAGGGGCTCTGGGGAAAAGCAGGACTCAGGACCACCACAAGGCAGGCTGCTGCTGGTCCTTGTCACAAACCAGTGACCCATGCTCCCACCACCGAGAGGCTGAGGTGTGAATCCAGATGTTGCCTTTTGAAGGCAGGGCAGCCTGGAGCTGTTGTCTCATAGGACAGGGGACCGTCAGAGAACTCTAGTGACTGCAGGGGCTTCTCCCCTCAATACCTTGGTGCTGCCTGGCCTGTTCTTACCTCTCTAAAGCAGTAGGAGTCACCTTACTGTCTCATAGGACAGTCAAGAGTTTCAGTGACCTGGGCTGGCTCCTCCCCTCAATTCCTTAGTACTGCAGTGATCAGTTCTTGGCTCCCCAGGACAGTGTCACCAAAGGCTAAGATGTTGCAGCACCCTCCATCCTAACATCGCAGGTGAGAACATCAAAGGAGAGGAGACATACTTCATCTGCCCTCCTGAGCCTCCTTCCTCACACTCTATGGACTCGCTGGGGGCTTACCCCTGCTGTCACTCTGTAGATGAGCAAACCAAGGGCCTGCGACCCCAAGGTGAAGATGCTGAGCACTGGCTGGCCAGAGACACTCCCTCTGATCTCTCCTGCCCAGGAACTAAGCCCAGGGAGGGGCAGGTTCTGCAGCTATCATATAACGGGAGGGAGAGGGAAGTAGGACAAGTTCCAGCTGGGGTGGGGAGGAAGCAGGCCTTGGCCCCAGGGGAGCCCTGGTCCCAGAGCCAGCTCCAGCCCAAGAGTGAAGCTGAGTAGAGGCAGAACCCAAGATGGGGTCCAAGCAGGAGGAACGTGGTATATAGGCCGGGCATCGCTGGAAGTGCAGTGGGCCTGCCTGCAGGGCCTTCCCAGCACCACCAAGCTCTGGACACAGGCCAGGTCCCTCACACCCCTCCACATAAAGAGAATGGTCACATCAGCAAGACGGAAGGCCCACAGACCACTGTGTCTTATACGGGTCTCCTGATCCCAGCTGGAGCCCGTGAGGGCTTGGCTATTGCCTGCAAACTTCAATCGAACAAGAATTTTTTTTTTTTCTTAAGAAAAAGTCTGTGGCTTTTGGCAGATTCTCAAAGGACCCGGGTTCAAAAACAGAGATTAAGATTCACTGGTCTAAACGAAAAGAAAGAAGAGCCAAGAAGAGCTACACAGGGGCAGAGGGTCAAAGGAACAGACACAAAAGGCAGGAAGGATGAGGACATGGGCATCTGAGACCAGAAAGGTTAAGAACCAAATGATAAACAGGGCGGAAAAGGTAGGCAGATTTGGGAAGGAAAGGCAGAAGAGTTGGGGACAGGACCTCCACGTCAGCAAGCACATGGCTGCCAGGGCCACAAACAGAAACGTGTCCTTGACAGAGGCCACAGTGTCCCAAGCAGGGCTTCAGGCAGCCCAGGGCCAGGCAGGTGGGCAGCAGCTCCTCCCTCAGCCCAGCACTTAACTCAGGCAGCTACAGCCCTACCACTTACCCCCTTTTGGGGCTCAGGCCCAAGTGGAAGAGGAATGGGCAACGTAGAGCCAGACAGGGGGACACACAAAGGGAGGAAGGGAAGGGGACAAAAGGACAGGGACAGAAGCATATGGCTGACTACTGACTTCTGACTCTAGGGCCCACGAATCCTACGAAAGCCTGTGCACAGGTGGACTCTGAACGTCCATAACTCTCACCAGGTTCTTCAAGGGGATCTCATCAATGTCCAGAACCACTTGGGCTCTGGATCAAAGCCCCAGTTTAAAGATGGGGAAACTGAAGCCCGCTGGGAGGAAGACACATAGACTCTGAGAATCCCCACAGGGGAGAGAGCCCACAAGTTACCCCTACTGTCCCTTCCAAGGGCTTCTCAAACCTGTGTGACCCCGGAAGTCTCCATCCCAAACCTCTCATGCACAGCGGTGTCTAGCACACCCACGTGGCTCTCCGCAGCCCCTCCAGAGGCTCACCTTGGTGCGCCCATTGATGAAGTAGCTACCCAGCCGCCCGGCGCAGTGCCGGATCACCTCATCCACTTGTGCCATGAGGGCACCAATGTTCTCGCAGCCTGGCTCATGGCCTTCCACCCAGGTAATCTGGTCCCCACGGATGCTTTTTGGCGAAATGGCCCGCTGGCTCACAAGCTGTCCGTCGCACAGGTGCCCACCTCGGTTCAGAGCTTCCACCTCGGCCAGCACGCGCCCACACATCGCATCCCCTAGGAAGTGGTCCTTGACACAGATGCCATAGTACCGCAAGCAGGGCACGATGTAGTCCAGGGCCAGGCGCTCAGGCGGGATGGGCCCTTCCTCCTCTCTCAGTCCAGCACTCGCCTCGCCACTGCCACTGTCACTGCCGCTGGCCCCATCCCCCTCTTCCTGGGCCTCTTGGTGCACCTGCCTGTCCCAGGGCCGTTTGCTGGGTTCCAGGGCATCCTCAGCATCCTCGCCGTCCTCTGCCAACTTCCGCTTGGGGACTTCGGGCCGGGCACCCTGCGCTTCCAGTCGCTCACAGCCCTTGGTGACCAGTGCCGCCGCACCCTCACTCTGAAGTGGACGCAGCTCCCCACCACCCTGCCGAGTCGAGCCCTCCTTCACAGGGCTGGTGGTGGTAAAGGTGGCTGTGGCACTGGGACTCCCACTGCCTGCAGACGCCTCCTCAGGTGCTCCTGGACAGTGACACGAGGGCAGCAGAGGACTGGGCACGCAACTCTCCACCCCCATCCTAACCCGGCCCAGCTCAGAGGACTCTGAGGCAGATGCTGGCAACTGAGAGCGAGCCTGACTCAGGGGCTGCGACGGGCACGGCCTGTCCATGGCAGCTGCGTCTTCATCCCCCGGGTATGGCAGACACGGCCCAGGCCCATGGTGCCACTCTCCTCCACCACCTCCTCCTCCTCCACGGATGCAGCTGGAGGCCCAGGGCAGCTGGGCTGGGTCAGGATGAGGCAAGGCAGGTGACAGGGCTTCTTCTGGTGCCCTCCAGGTGCTTGCTGGTCCCCAATCCTCAGCTGTCCCTAGAAGCTTGGGAGGGGACCAATCAGAGTGGCTGGTGGAAGAGGGGGGGAAAAAGGAAGTTCATTAGAGACTACAGACAGGCAGTCCTACTGAGGAAGGAGCAGTAGGGAGAGTGAAAAATGAGGAGTCCCGGGCTCTGAGAATTTGGGGACAGGGGAATAGCTGACAATCAAGACAAGAGGAGGTCTGGGAAGGCTGCTGGATGAGAGTTTGAGTAGGTGACCCCAAGTCTGAGGCCCAGTACAGGGACCTGGCGCAGTATCCTGGGACCCAGAAGAGGGAGGGGATCTGAGAAATGGTGGGCGGGTGAGGAGTGGGCGGGCTGGAAACAGGAAGGATCCACCTGACGGTTCCATCTAGACACAGGTAGGACTGGGGGGGGGGGTCCCCAGAGAGGAACAGAGGGTATGGAAGTCCAGAGAGGGAGAGAAGTAGGGGTGTCGCGACTCAAACAAAGGGCATCAGGGGCCGAGGGACAGAAAAACAGACCAGTGGGAAGCTTGGGGGCTGGGCTTAGTTTGCCAGACGGAACGGGGTGGAGGGGTCGACCCGAGTCCAATAGGAGGAAGCCCGTACGGGCAGACAGAGACTCTGACGGAAGGGAGGTCCGGAGACAGACGGACCAACGGAAGGGGGCCTCGGGAGAAGGATGCATAGCGACGGAGGGAGGGGCGGGGGGAATTCACGCACCCTGGGCCAGGAGAGGGGGTAACCGGCACCCTGCTCCCAACTCTGCTGCCCGGGGGTCTGGAGGCCCAGAAGGGGCAGCGGACAGCGGGGACAGGGCTGGGGAGGCACTCGGACCCTGCTCGCCCTCCGCTGCTGCGGTCTCTCGGCTCCCCGCTCCCTCAACCGCCAGCACCCAGCGTAGGCCCCACCCTCGCACTCCCCTCCCCGAGGTCCCGGAGGTCCGCCACGGCGCGCCCCCGTACCCCTGCCGCCTCCCAACAGCTCCAGAGCTCCAGCCCCTCCCCTTCCAGTACCCGCCCCGACCCCTGGCCCCTCACCAGGCTTTTTCCTCCGGCCGCGGCTCCTCCGTTTATGCCAGCTGCCCAGCGCCGCGCACGCCATGCCCCGCCCCCACTACCGTGACGCCCCGCCCCCCGCCTCGCCCGGCGGGCACGTGACGTGCCGGCCAAGCAGCGGGCGCATGCGCAGGCACTACGGGGCGGGAGGACCCGGAGGTATAACACCTTGTACCTAGAGCAAGACGTCCCCCGCTTGATCTTGTTGTGAGGTGCCATCGAGCAGACTACCACTCATGGAGACCCTATGAACAACATAGCCGAGCCTTGTCCTGTACTGTCCCATCCTCATCTTCTCTACCACACTTGACCTCACTGTCAAAGGTCCCTGTGTCAAGCCATCTCGTTGAGGCTCTTCGCCAACCCTCTACATTTTCTAGTGTGATGTCCACTTAAAGACTGAAACCACCTTAGTGATGTGCCCAAAGTATGCACGACAAAAGTTAGCTCTTCTTCCCTCTAAAAAGCATCCTGGCTGCACTGTCTCTAAGGCATAGTAGTTCTCTTGGCAGTCCAAGAAATATTTAGTACTCTGCAACAGCCCACAACTCAAAGGCTTGGATTCTTCTGTCCTCTTTATTCACTGTCCAACTCTCAGATATAGGAAGTAATTGAAAACCATGGCTTGGATCAGGTGCAGCTTAGTTTAAAACCAGTATGTCTGCTCTTCAGCACTTTGGAGAGGTCCCTGACGGCAGACTTTCTCAGTGCAACATGCTTTTTGATTTCCTGACAGCTGGGTTGTTGATCCTGGACCCAAGTAAGATGAAATCACTGACAATTTCTATCTTTTCCCCATCTATCATGATGTTCCCCATTGATCCAATGATGAGGATTTTTTTGTTTGTTTTCATGATGTTGAGATGTAATCCATACTGAAGACTGTAGTCCTTGATATTCTGCAGCAAGTGTTTCAATTCCTCCTCACTTTCAACAAGCAAGGTTGTGCCATCCACATAATGTAGGCTGTTGATGAGTCTTCCTCTAATCCTGATGCCATATTCTTCTTTATGAAGTCCAACTTCTCAAATTATTTTCTTGTCATAGAGATTGAAGAGGTATGGAGAAAGGATACAGCCCTGATGCACACGTTTGTTGGTTTTAAACTATACCATGCTCCCTTGTTCTGTCCACTAAACAGCTTCTTAGTCCAAGTATAGGTTTCACATGAACACAATCAAGTGTTCTGGGATTCTCATTATTCTCAACAAGTAGTCACAAGTGGTTTTGATCCACAGTTAAATTACTTTGCACGGCTGATAAAACACAAGTAGACATCTATGAGTACTCTCTGTTTTCAGCTAAGCGCCATCTGGCATCAGCCATGATATCCCTGATGTTATGGCCCAACATCCTTGGTGCTTCTAAATCCAGCCTGAATCTCTGGAAATTCTCTGTTAATATACTGTTGTAGCCACTTAATCTTCAGTAAGATTTTGTTTGCATGTGGTATTAATGACATTTTTTTGTGATTTCCACATTTTGTTAGATATCTTTTTTGGGGGAGGGGATGGGAACAAACACAGACTTCTTCCAGGCTGTTGGCCAAGTAGCTGTCTTACAAATCTCTTGGCAAAGCCTGGTTGAGCATATGTAGGGCTGCATTCATTTGTGGAAACATGTCAATTGTTATTCCATCAAATCCTGGGGCCATATTTTTTACCAACTCCTTCAGTGCAGCTTGGGCTTCTTCCTTCATCACCACTGGTTTGTGATCATAAGCTAGTTCCGGAAATGATTCCATATTATCCAATTCCTCTTAGCTACAATGACTCCGTGTATTCATTTCATCTTCTTATGACGTTTCCTGGATCATTCAGGGGTTTGCCTATGGTATCCTTGAGTATTGCACTTTGAAGCTTGAATTTGTTTTTCAGTTCAGATGGGCTGCATCAAGGGCAGCTGAGGCCACCTGTGTGCCCTCTTTACTGGGAGCAGCCCAATAGGCAGTAGGTTTGACCAAGGTCTGAACCATCCTTTCTGGGAAAAGCCACTAGGCATGGCCAGAGCCTGCTTAATATCTGCTTGTTTGATGGTTTTTATGGTTTGCTATTAAGGGTATTCTCATTACTGGGCCAACTGACAGCATCATGTTAATGGTGAAGAGATTGAGATTGTTAAGAGCTTCAGCTTGCTTGGCTTTACAGACATCACTCTTGGTACCAGCAGCCAGGAAATCAAAAGATTAATTGTATTGGAAAATTTGCTGTCAAGAACCTCTCCAGATGTATCTGATGAGTAGAAGTTGTATTTTTTTATTTTATTATTTTGTGTGTGTATACTGTCAAATCAGATCTGACTGGTACAGGAGGAGATTGTCCCTCCTTCTCCAGCAGAGCATCTGGTGGATTTTAACCACTCACCTCTGGGATTGCAGTGCAGCTTCTTGCCACTAGGCCACCAGAGCTCGCCTGAAGTTGTATTTAATGAGTAAAATTTGTGCTGTATCTGATGAGTAGAATTTATATTTAATGAGTAAAATTTGTGCTGTATCTGATGAGTAGAAGTTGTATTAATGAGTAAAATTTGTACTATTTCTGATGAGTGAAAGTTATATTTGATGAGTAAAATTTGTACTGTATCTGAGGGGGGGAAAAAAGAACCTCTCCAGCGTACTGAAGAACAATGATGTCAGTCTAGAAACGAAGGTGCACCTGATCCAGGCCATGGTCTTCACAATTACTTGCTATGTAACTATGTCAGAGAATTAGACAATGACTAAGGATGATAGACAAAGAATGAATGCCTTTGAGTTGTGGTGCTGGAAAAAAGCATTGCATATACCATTGACTGCTAGAACAAACAAGTTTGTCCTGGGAAGGGAGAAACCAGGCTGCTCTTTGGAAGCAAGGACTTTTTTAAAAAATTAATTAATTTATTTAATTTTCACATACTGTAGAATTGGATCTGACTGACACAGGAAAAGACTGCCCCTCCTTCTCCAGCAGAGTATCTGGTGGATTTAAACTGTGAGCCTTCGGGATTGCAGTGCAGCTTCTTTGCACCAGAGCTCCCTGGAAGCAAGGATTTTGAAGCTTTGTCTAACATATTTTGGTCATCTTGCAAGGAGGGACCGGTCTTTGAACATCATGTTTGGGAGGGTAAAGGGACAGAAAAAGACAGGGAAGACCTTGGATGACTGGGATAAGGGGAGGTAGGTGTGTCAGAGACAAACAGATGGCTCAGGATAGAGCAGGGTTCAGAGCTGTTGTACACAGGGTTGCTATGAGTTGCAAGCGACTTGATGGCACATAACAACAGCAAACATTAGGGGTACAAGGCAGCTCTGGTGCCCAGTGGTAAGAAGCTGTGCTGCAATCCTGAAGGCACAGGGTTTGAATCCACCAGCTACTCCACAGGAGAAGGATGCACAGTTTCCTCTCATGTGATTAACTGCCTCTAAATATTTGCTGGAGGGTCAGTTATAGATTGGTTGCTGACTTGACGGTACACAACAACAACAACAATCGAGAGTACATTTATCTACTAGGTTGCTGTATTGGGGAAGGGACTTGCATTGAGCTGCTTACTTTATAGTTTATATTATGTATACGCTTGTCTGAATCAGACAATCATATAATCTACTGCACTAGAAATGAAAAGGTGAGGAAAAATAGAGTCACATTCATAGTCAAAAAGACCATTTCTAGATCCATCCTGAAATAAAATGTAGTGAGTGACAGATATCCATACACATACAAGAAAGATTTTAATCATTCAAATATATGCACCAACAACCAGAGCCAAAGAGGAGGAAGTAGAAGATTTCTACTA